ATAAACAGAGACCCAGGCTGCAGGTGGATGTGGAAGACTCTATGCCGTTTCTTTGAAGAGGAGCATGGGAACGCTCCCTCGTGTCTGGACGAATATTTATTCCCCAATCAACATCATTCAAACAGACTGTCCAGCCATGATCAGCTTACTGTGTGCAAATTGGCTGTTGTGTTTCCCACATTATTACAGTGATTACATTTTAAACCATTTCATTGGCTGTAAAGCTCTGTGAGGTACAGAAATGCAAATCTGTCTTTTTTATGTTATTATTTTATCTGAAAGTACGAAGAGACGGAGTTATGAGGATGAATGATGTGAGACTCTGCTCCCGATTACAGTCGCGCTCAGGCCTGAGACACAACAGTCCTGAGCACCTGGTCACTTTTCACAAGGGAAGGGAGCAGGGAGGTGGAGGGAGAGAGGAAGTATGGAGGAGAGAGAGCTGATTGATCACGCACCACTACATGCTGCATTCAAATATGTGAAATCTTTCAGGAACTGGATTGCAATGCAAGGAATTCAAAGAGCCCTGTGGGTCCTGGTAAATTTTACATTCAGTGTCACAGATCGATTCCAGGCAGCATTTGGATCCGACAGGATCGGGCAGGGGATTAAAAAAGTTGTTTAACTCCTCGCAGCTGGGAGATGGTTCAACTGATCCCTCGACCCAGCCCCACACTCAGGATAGTCTTAAAGACAGAAGCCATTAGGCCTTGCTGTGTTCCCTCACTCCCAAAGTAGTGTGACAGCTCGCTTAGATTCTGGGTCAAAGGCAAAGGAAGGAATGTAATTCAGGAATGGTATCATTTTGTCAAAGCTGCCCAAGTCATTGCCAGCTGGATCAAGTCTCTCTTGATTCACCCTGACCTGCATGCTATCCACCTGGAAGATTTCTAAGAATCCCAGGCTACTCAGGGACACAGTTGTGCTGGAAAAGGAGAGGGAAGGGAACACCTCCCTCATCGGCCTGCACCAGGAGAAGGCCATTGATATGACGGTCGTGCTGTCCAAACTGGGATTTGGGGACGGAATCCAACTGCTCTACACAATCATCAGGAACCCAACTTCAGTCAATGGATTGGAATCAGAAAGCTTCCCCCCCAACCCCAAATAATCGAAAGCCCCCTTTCCTGTCCATGTGTCACTTATAAACTTTCTCCAAGCCCCTCAGGAAAAGTGTGAGTATGAGAGAGCTGATGGTCCTGTAGTGGAGGCACTCCAGTCAAAACCTCCCTGCACATGGCCAGTGTACACCTCAGATCCACTGTCAATGCACAGACTCATGGGCATCTATGATCAGTTCGAACTCGCCTTGGGAACCAAGGGAAATCAAGGCAAGAGCAGGCCATGCTCTTTGGGACCTGGGGTGACCAATCCTTTAACCTCCACCATCAGGGCAGGATACCTGAAGATGCTGGGGTAAGATTTGAAGGGCTCAAGGCATGTAAAGAGCTAGGTGGAGAAAGTGGCTATCCATAGCAACGCTGACTCTCAGCTGTGGGTAAGAAGCTGATGCCAGGTACCCGGCTCTCGGTGTTGTACGTGGTACAAATCTGATCCATTCCACGCTCCCCTGTGCCATGGTGATCAACTGGACCACCTTCAACTACAACTGGGAGTCACTAGTGGACCATATTCACAGGGATATTATGTACCAATCTTGAGATATAAAGCGGGAGAAACATACCAAAAGCCGCCTTTGTCCTGATGGCTACCTTTTACATGTAGCTGTGTATAGACCCTCAGTACACAATCACCAGATGTCAATACATGCTGGAGACAATAAGGACTCCAGATGCAGGAAAAGTCAGAGACTATAGGTGTGGAGGCTGGTAAAACACAGCAGGTCAGATAGCATCAGAGGAGCAGGTAAGTCAACGTTTCAGGCTGAAACCTGCTGAGTGTCTCCCTCGCCTTGAAGGTGGGTCCGGCCCCATTGCCCTGGAACACTCCGACTACTTGGATCATTGACCCTTGCAGAGAAGTTGATGCAGCAAGCATCTTTGACCATATCTGTCGGGCAGTAATCAGTATGCAACGTCCTAGAAACCAAGGAGATGATTGATCATGTCCAAAGAATATGGCAAAATGTCTCATCGCCAAAACTCAGCACCATGATGGAACTTGGCTGTGGTGAGAAAGGACCTCACTGCCAGACCTTTCCTTCACATCCAGGGTCTTATCCTGTCCACGCCTGATCCTCAAGGAGTCTGCGATAAGAAGGTGGACAACAGTCTCTTCCCTATGGTCTTTGCCTTTGTAGGGAAGGTCTGGAGAAAATGATTCAGTGGATTTTGTGAAGGCTTGTTCCAAGCAGCTCTGTGATGCAGGACTCTGTGTCCTATCACTTGTTCCATGGGAAACTCACTGAGATAAATATGAACTGTACCAGGAGGGCCATCCACTCAGTGGAAGACACTCTTTTATAGAAGGATAAAAGTTGAATTGATTGAATGATATAAAACCCTGACTGGAAAGGGTGTTTCCTCTTATGGGTGAATCTAGAACTAGGAGGGTCTATTTAAAAATCAAAGGCACGCATCTAAAACAGAATGAGGTGAAATATTTTCTTCAGAGATGGTGAATCTTAAGAACTCCCTTCCTGAAAAGGAGCTGGGACCAGGGTCCCTGATATTTTTCAAGTGGGAGGAGCAAAATGCTTGATACACAAGGTGTGCGTGCGTGCATGGTGGTTACAGGTTGTCAGGGGCTGGTGGGAATGGGCATCAGAGATTACAATCAGATCAGCCATGATCTTCTAGAATGATGGAACAGATCTGAGGGTTTGAATGATCTACTCCTGCTCCTAAGTTTGTACATTCACACAGGACATCACTTTTGGGGAGGCACTGGCTGAGTGGCATTATCGCTAGACTATCAATCTAGAAATTCGACTCATGTTCTCAGGACCTAGGTTCGAATCTCGCCCTGCCAATTGGTGGAATTTGAATTCAATAAAGAATCTGGAATTAAGGGTCTAATGACGACCATGACACTATTGTCGATTGTTGGAAAAACCCATCTGGTTCACTAATGTTCTTTAGGGAAGGAAACTACCATCCTTACCTGGTCTGGCCTACATGTGACTCCAGACCCCCAGCAATGTGCTTGACTCCTAACTGCCCTCTGGGCAATTAGGGATGGGCAATAAATGCTGGTCTAGCCAGTTACATCCATATTCTTAAAGTGAATAAAAGACACAAGCACAGTTTTCATACAGAGAATTACTCAGGAAAATTCCCTGCTGAGAAGCATGAGCTGTGGGAGCACCTGGAAGTCACAGAGATGCATTTCACAGGCTCAGAGCATCCCAGAACATTTTTTTTACAAGCAATAAAAGACTTTCGAAGCACAGTCACTTATACTGCAGGAACCAATACAGCTAATTAGCACACTGTGTGTTCTAGCAAACAGCAATGACAGAAATGATATTGCTGGCAGGATAAATATTTACAAGGACACAAAAAAGAAAGACATTCACTTCCTAAGCACTCAGGATTCCCGATTAAAATCTTTCCATGTCCCATTAAATACTTTTCTTTCTAAAGTGTGGTCAGCTGTTAGCATACTAGAAACACAGCTCAATGGAAAAGGTGAGGGAGAATTTGATGCACTTTATTGAAACAGTGACTATGAGCTCTCTCAAGTCCACCCTGGGGAGTTGATTGACTCACTGGTTTCGCATCTCAACCGAGAGGGGACACCTCCAACATGCAACATTCTGTCAGTGCCCCACATCGCAGCCTGGGCCCATAAACTGTGCACAGGTGCACAGATGGTACCCACTGGACCCACAGCCAGGGGTCAGGCTGATGACCTGACCTCTTTGTGATACACAAATAACAGCCCAAGCCAAAGTCAAGGACTCGAATGGTAAATGGCACAAGAGAGAGTCCTAATAACACTTCCCCCTTTCACTGAATCAGAGGAGATTACAGAAAACTCAGAAGACCAAGGAGGCCGGTTAATGGTTAGATTGTAAAAACCTGACTGTGGTAAGAACGGTTGGATGTTGTCCCAGATAGGAGCTGGAGTTAGGACTTATCTTTCCAGAAATGAACTTGCATCCTGTTGTGGTTATATATCTGATACACACACTCTGAAACTCTGCACATCCACGGGCTCACACACACTCTGAAACTGTACATACACAGAATCTCTACACACAGACTTTTACACAAACAGATTTTTACATAAACTCAGAAACTCTATACACACACACACACACACACACTTTTACACAAACACACTCAGAAATGCTACCTATGAACCTCTCCATACAAAACAGTAAAAATCAGGCACAAAATATACGCACTCGTGTGGCCACGTTCACAAGGAGACACGGACAAACATACAAATACACACACAAACATAAAGGCACACCACCACACCCTCAGCCACATACACACAAATCAATGATCACAATATTGTGTGACAGGATGCCTTTCACATAAGGTAACAGCAAGAAGTCCCCCTAAACTGGTAAACAAAACCTGCCAGCCCCTGCCCCGGCTTCTGTGAGGTGTCTTCAATCTCACTTCCTGACACAAACCTATCGGAAACCTGTATAGATCTCCAACAAACTGTCAGCCTGTCCCACACAAAAAGAGACTCTGAGGTCCCAGCACGTAGAACAAATACTTAAACTTGAAGCAAAAACCAGTGAAATTGGCAAATGAGACATACTGTCAGACATATCTTGGACACCTCAGAACAGAGGACCAGTATGATCAGTATGCTCATTTCCAAGTATAGCTGATAGATTTTTTAAACAGTTTTTCCCTCTGGTGTGGTGAAGTTAAACATCACAAACTCTGAAATCAGAGCAGAAGTACCATTCAGGACTTACTGTCAGAATCTCTCACTCAGAAACACATCATGAGCCGAGATCAACAAGAGACAAAGCAGTTGGAGCCAGACCCCTTTTTACACAGAACGTATGAGAAATAACGACAAAAAATTGAAACAGTTTTAAGAGAGTTTATAAATTAAAGCAGTACCTTTTTTAAATGACCATCGCTTCATCCAGAACTTTGAGAAGGAGGGCCAGGAGTTATTTAGCGGAGAGTCAGACATTTAGCAAATTGAAAGTTATTTTCCAACAAGCCCCAGGAATAGTGCAACTGTGAAAGCTCAAGCACAGGGAGGCAGAGTGAACTAAGAACAAACCCGCTATCCAAACAGTGTCGACAGCCTGAGTGCTGAGGGGAGGGTTGGGGGGAGAAGCTGGAGGGGGCAGTCTGCTGTCAGACTCAAGTTGCGTGCCAACATCAGAGGCTGCAGGGAGACAGGCTGTGGTTTCACTCTGTGCTGTTTGACTGAGGGCTGGCTGCGAGGGAGAATCAGAGAGAGACAGAGAGGGAGCTGCCAGGGGCTGCAGCAACAGGAGAGAGAGCAAACAGAGACGGGGGAAAAGGGGAATGGGGTTGGGGGGAGATAGGGGAAACATGGGTGAAGGGGAACAGACGGCAATAAAGAGAAACAGAGAGGGAACACAGAGGAAGAGAGATGGGAGCAAACAGGGGTAAAGAGAATAAAAAGAGGGGTTTGAGAGAAAGAGAAGGTGACAGAGCAGACGAATGGAGAGAGCAAACAGAGAGATGGAGAGAGATGAAAAGTGGAAGGAGAGGGAGTGAGAAATAAGGAGCTAAATGGGGAAATGAAGGATACCCAGGAACAGAGATTAGGAGGAGATCCGAGACAACCAGGTGCAGGGCTGGATGAACACAGCAGGCCAAGCAGCATCATAGGAGCAGAAAGGCTGACGTTTCGGCCCTAGACCCTTCATCAGAAATGGGGGAGGGGAAGGGGGTTCTGAAATAAATAGGGAGAGAGGGGGAGGCGGATAGAAGATGGATAGAGGAGAGAATAGGTGGAGAAGAAACAAACAGGTCGAAGAGGCGGGGATGGAGCCAGTAAAGGTGAGTGTAGGTGGGGAGGTAGGGAGGGGATAGGTCAGTCCAGGGAGGACGGACAGGTCAAGGGGGCGGGATGAGGTTAGTCGGTAGGAGATGTGGGTGCGGCTTGAGGTGGGAGGAGGGGATAGGTGGGAGGAAGAACAGGTTCGGGAGGCGGGGACGAGCTGGACTGGTTTTGGGATGCGGTAGGGGGAGGGGAGATTTTGAAGCTTGCGAAATCCCGTGGGGAAGCAGTGAAGGGAAGACAAAGCAGGAACAATAGAAAGGTGATAAACAGAGAGAGAAAGGTAATCAGAGAGTTAGACAGCGTTGAGTGAGGAAGCGCAGAAAGTGGGGAAGCTCAAAGGCAAGCAGAGAGAAAAGGAAAATAGTGGAAGACTATACAGGAAAAGAGGGAAGAGCTGTAAATAATAGAGAAGGTTAGAGAGAGAGTGAGGGGGAGAGAGGTGAGGGGGAGAGAGTGTGGGGAGTAAAAAGAGACAGTGAGGGAGAATGATACGAAAGCAGAAAGAGAGGTGCGAGATTGTTGGAGATGCAACATTTTCCCATTTTAAACATCAAGCCCAAGACTCTGAGGACCGGAACAGCACGGGGTTAGATACAGAGTAAATCTTCCTCTACACTGTCCCATCAAACACTTTCAGGGCAGGGACAGCACAGGGTTAGATACACTATGAAGCTGTAAGGATCTGCTGTTGAGTGCCCTGTTGTTGCTGGGCATACTGAAAGTGCTGGGCTTTCTGGGTTGGAACATTCTCTGCTGGACTTGGTCCTATCTCAGGAGTTGTTACATCAGCTACCTGCTTGGGAAGAACTCTCAACTCTGGGACAGAAAGGCTCGAGGTATCTTTACTCAGTCAGCCAGTAGGGGAAAGACTTGACAAGTCTTAACATCCAGGTACTCAATGGGTCATTTGAGTCTGAACACTGAGCTCATGCCCCAAGAGTTTTGAACACATAATCGGAGCTGACACACCCAGTACTGCACTGTCAGAAACATCATGTTGGGGTAAGACATGAAACTGAGGTCCTAAATGTCCAAGGCACTATTTTGAAGAAAAATAGGAAAGTTCTTCCTGATTTCCCAGACAATATCCACTCTCACTTTGCTGCTTGTGTGATTTTTTTTATATATATATAAAAAATCCCTTCAGTGTGGATACAACAGGCCATTAGGACCAACAGGTCTGCACCAACCCACCCAGACTGAGCCCCCCCTACCCTATCCCTGTAATCCTGCATTTCCCAAGGCCAATCCATCTGACCTGCACATTGTTGGACTGTGGGAGGAAACCGGAGCGCTCAACAGAAACCCATGCAGACACAGGGAGAATGTGCAAACTCCACACAGACAGTCACCCGAGGGTGGAATTGAACCCGGGTCCCTGGCACTGTGAGGCAGCAGTGGTAACCACTGAGTCACCGTGTCACTCAATGCTGTCTACTGAACTTCCTACATTTACATCAGTGACAACATATCATTGGCTGTAAAATGTTTTTGGTCTTCATAAGGTGCTATAAAAATGAAAGTCTTTCCATTAACTAGCTCATGAATTATAGCACAGCAGGTTTCATGAGGCGAATAGGGGGTTAGGGGAAATGAGGGGGACATGAGGAGACAGGATCCGATTCTGTGGTGTTGTGTGTGATAATCAGTATACCTTTAAGAGACACAATGCCAATGTCACTATGCCTTTTAGAGACATTCTTATGACATCATCACTGTATCATCGCATGTAACCAGAGGATATAAAGATCTCAGACTCCCTCTTATCTCCAATCACTTGAAGCATGGCATTCTACTAGGAGCATGTTGACCTGTGTAACACAATGTTAGCCCAGACACTGATGCGCCTATGAACCTAATGTTTGCATATAAGAGCTGGCTGTAATAAACATCTGTTGGGTTCTTCAATACCACAACATCCACATCCAGTTTCTGATGTTGCGAGGGATATTCTAAGCATTTTCACATACTCATACCTGCTCTCCCACTGCCTTAATCTCCCTTGCTCTCTTTGTTCTATCTGACCCGTCCATCTTTCTCAGCATCATACAGCAACCAATCACATTTCCACCTCTCTTCAATTCTGAAGAGATACAATGCATCATATGGGACTCAAAACCCCAACTCAGTTTCTCTCTCCATTGATGCTGCCAGACCTGCTGGAGTTGAATTTCAGACCTCCAGCATCTGCAGTATTTTGCTTTTAGCTAAGTTTATGAGCAACGCCACTGGCTGCTGGAGCGTTACAGTCTGTGAGGGCAGATGTTGACAGACTTTCACCTGGCTAAACGTGACAGAAGTGGTCATGTCTGTTGCGCCAAAGTTTATTCTAGTCAAGAACCAAGTAACCAGATTGCAACAGTTCTTTGCATTAAATTTTAGACTATTTGTAAGATTTGAGAAAACACAGCAACAGTCTGTAAATTTTTTTGCAAATTAGTGCCTCTGATGACTTAAAACATTGTCTTGTCTCAACACTGCTAACGTTGGCTGATTAAAAAAATGTTCTTTTCACTGAAACCAGAGATACCACTACCAAAGAATGATAGCATGCCTGCTTTCAGAAATTGTTGTCCTGCACAGACCACATTCTGAGAAGAGTCATACCAGACTCAAAATGTTAACTGTGCTTTTCTCTCCACAGATGCTGCCAGACCTGCTGAGTTTCTCCAGCACTTTCTGCTTGTTTCAGATTCCCAGCAATCAGAGTATTTTGCTTTAATTTGGTTGCCAATTCTGGCCATCCTGGAGGTTATGTTACATGATTCCTCAGCTGCATCTCCCACTCATTGGTCAACTGATATGTCCATCCTGCCTTCTTGCAGCCAATTAGAAAGTGAGTAAATCCTAGTTGCCCAATTAGAATAATTCGTCCCTTGCAGGTCATCAAACCTTGAGTCACTTGCTTGGAGACACAAAACCTGAATATTTTAAGAAAACGAAGGCACATTGTTGAAGGTTTTTGTCTTGCTCTCCTCAGGACAAATGTAAAAATGCCAAGTTTCAGACAATCCCGCATGAAAAGCTTCAGCGAAAAATGTCTCTTTCCAGCAATGAACCTTTAACACCACATCCAATACTTCTATAAATTAATAAACAAATGTATTCAAAGAAAATGAAACGTATTTTGGTATGCCTCACTGGGATAGCATGCTGGAATTCAAACTCTGGTATTTCCAGAATTTATCTGAGAAGTAAAATTCCCCAGTTCATTTATCTCTTGGACCCAAATCACAGAAGGCACAGGACAGGTTTCTGTACTTTTCAAGAATTACTTTTTATTCACATTTTAGTTGATTTCAGCTACAGGTAAATAATTATGAAATACTGACATATAACTCTACTAGTTAAAACTTTAACTCCCTTATAAAACTCTCTCTACAGAGTTATGCAAAGACACAAAAAGTAGCTGTTCTGAAGAGGGTCACTCGACCCGAAACATTAACTCTGATTTCTCTCCGCAGATGCTGCCAGACATGCTGAGATTTTCCAACAATTTGTTTTTTGTTTCTGGTTTTCAGCATTCACAGTTCTTTTGGCTTTTTATTTTTAAAAAATGGTGTTCTGGGTGGTGGGGAAGATAGGAAGACAGTTGGTCCCCGTTATCAGGGCTCGCTCTCAATGATTCTCTCGGTTTGCCAAGACTTGCTGCCCCATGATTTCTCCTTGCCAGGTACTTTCACATGCTTGTTGTGAGCCGATTGCTCCTGCATGTAAAGGTCCTGACTTATAGGTTAAAAGTAACAGCTTACAACTGGTGACAGAAAATAAACTGGCTTTCTTCAGGCTTCAGGTGTTTTTTTTCACAAAGACACCACCTTCACTGCAGGAGGACCAAATGCTTCTGACCATATCAATCACCTCCACAAGCTGTTCAGCTACCCAGGAGGCAGACGCCCTTTGACATTGTCAACAAGTCACTAGTCCACATACCAATCAGCTACTTGCTGCTAGCCAAATCCCTTCATAGTGTCAGATTGTCTGCAATAACCTTGACCAAACGCCTGAACAAACAGCAGTGGAGACAATACACACAGTGAGCATTGATAACTGTTTTTAAAAAGTGCAATCATCCCTTCCTCAAACCTTGTTTTTTAAAACTGCCCTTTTCACATTACAACCTGCAATTAAAAATACAGAAATATAAAAGATATGGGTTTTACAATCTTCCAACAATATTTCTTATGGCTTTGCCAAAACACAGTCTTAAATTCTGGGAATCACTGAAC